TGAAAGTTTTTTTGTACCCCACAAAAAACTTTTGAATGCGTTTCCATTAAGACACCTAATAATTCGTTTTATATCAATCAATTTCCCATTAATTTGAAAACCGAGTAAAATTACCACATAAAATTACGGTCTTCTATTGTAACAGCTATTCTGTAACAGCAGCGGTTGTGATTTTCCGCGACATGAGTTAATATAAATGTTAGGTACATAGTTACACTGTATACAAGTAAAAAACTATTGTAGAAATTATTATATTCAATTCCTTATTTTACTTTTATTGATACACTTTTATATTCGCTAACAATAAACAAATTCTATAACTCTGCGTGTATCAAAATGGTAACAAGCTACAATTATTATTTACTTCTTTCTGTTTCCTATATCGTAAGCCAGTACTTAAGAACGCAGTCTCATAGGAATTATTTTTAAATGTATAAGAGAATATAAAAATTTTAAAAACTGATCCGGATACTTTAAGCGATAATTATTTCATAAAACATGTTTTCTAAATACATATGACACCATGATACAACAATTAATAATAACTCTCGTTTAATAATGTCTAATATCTAAATTTGGCTAAAAAGTGTCCCTTTCTTTATTTTGAATTCGGTTTGAGGATTCCTTAAGGGCTGCTATTGTTTTTGTAATTTCATATAATACTTTTAAAGAAAAAAAGTATTTGAAGTCTTTAGCATTTTATTCACACTAACAAAATAGAGCGAGTAAGTATATAACTACAGAAAATTTCTATCTCATTATGATAAAAGGGTCTCCTTTGTACTGATATCAACCCTGGACCGAAGTCTCCAACGTGATCAGATTCAATAATACAAAACAATTAATTGCGAGATGTATCCCATACCGATCTACTATTTACTCAATATTAATTTGCTGTCCACAAAGGATTGACTTAATATTATAATAAATCTTATTTTATTTTAAACGTATTTGTTATTATAAACGTGCCACTTTTGGTTGTCTTGTTAAAGTATCTCACAATCAATACTGCTCATAGGTTTCCATAAACTAATACTTTATTAAGATATTTATACAAAAAGTAAAATTTTTATACACCTTTTAATATTCTTCACTTATGAAGGACTTAATTAAGCTCAATTAAAAAAAGAAATTCTGAAGTAGAAATTTATGATATTTAATAATTTCTTCAGTAAACATTTAAATAAAATGTATGATTTATTAAGCGCCATATTTCCCCACGTTTCCACTGCTGTGCAGTAACAGTAATCTTGAGCAGGTGAGTTGGTACAGTCTCAAATTTCGTCATCTACCCTTAACGATTTCTTAATTTGTGTCAGACAATGATTTATCTATGGTAGTGGAGTCGCGGACAAGGGTTTTATATTTTTATAGAGGTAATTCCAAGTGTTATACAATTGGTAGCGGTCAACTTTATTGGAAATTGAATTTATGTAGCTTATCTTCGGTATATATTTGTCTTTACGAAACAGGATCTATGGTATATCAACGGATGTAATTGCTTCACTTGTCTATCGTATGTTCACAGGCTACTGATTTCAAGAAACGCCTATATTTATTATCTGATATATGTTACCTTACTCTATATTACCGTTTTTCGCTCTTCTTCGTCTGAGACTAGTCACAGTCACAATTAAGTTTATCACCAATTTATCGTAAAGGTAGGATACTCGTAATTAGATTAAATATTTTTCTTACTTTTTTGTGCTTCTCGTATTGTTTTAGTTGAAACTTTGTTTAAAATGTTGCCTATTCTGTCAGTACCTCACTTCACGTACGGTGATATGGCAGGTTGTCGCTGGCAGGTTCTAGCTAAAACGGGCGAGTTTATAAATATAGGCCTTTATACATACAGCATAACAAAGGTGTTAGGGCCTTTGAAACAAATATTTGCCGACGATAGCTAAATGGCTGGGGCGTTGGATAAGGATACCTATTAGCATTTATGGTCTTCCTATATTCCCACACAGTCAGGGTTCGTAAGAACCGGTGTATATATTTGTGTCTAATTCTCTATTTCCACTTTAAAAAATATTTAATATATATACTTTTAAGGTTCTTTAAAGTGTAGGTCATAAAGAGTTTATAAAAAAAGTTACATAACATTTATACAGCGTACTTATTTTATAAATAATAATTTAGTACTAGAGTATAAAACGTAACCTGAAAAAGATCTACCAATTTTTTTTTTATATTTAATCATGACACATTAAAAAGCTTTAATATTATCAAATATCATTTAATAATAATATTATACAATCGATTATAAATCGAAGTGTGTATTACCTGTGAACTTTAATAAGTAGAAAATAATATTATGACGTCCACGCCATCGGTATGTTTTCACTAATAAAACTATTAAATAGCCCAAATGTATATATTATTCAATGAAGTATTATTTAAATTAAGCTAATATTTTTCGGATATATTACGCGTGCTTTACTTTTGTAGAATACTACATACTCCCGACGTGTTTTGTTACTTTTCAGCAAGCGTGATTTTCAGTACTGCTCTTTTTGTTAGCATCGAGAACGGTACGCCAGAAATTAAAAAAATCTATGGCAATCGATAATAAATTACTAGACCGAATGACAGACATTCACATCTCGTCTGCCCTTTCATCACGGTTGTTGAAAAGTAACCGAAGTGTCGGGAGTATATAGTTTTTTACAAAAGTAAAGCACGCGTAGTATATCCGAAAAATACAAGTTTCATTTTCATGAATTATTATATTTTATGACAACCTCTTTACAAAGGTGCATAGGTACATATTACTCCTAATTTAATAGAAGTAATCACTATAACAAGTTAAATCAATAGTTTAATTTGAGGTTTTCGCCCGTTCCGAATGTGTATGCCAATGCCACGTACACTGCAGAAGACACGGAGTAGATTGCGCAGTATAATGAGTTCACTTCAACATTGTCGACTGAAGTCCCAGTGAGGAGTTTATTACTATTTCCAAAACAACACTCAGTAAACCAAAGTTTTATTGAAATTTTGTCAAACCAACAAGTTTAAATTATGTGCCATACTATTTCTATTAAATAAAAGATAAATTGTGTTTATTTAAAAAGTACTTTTTTAAAAGTTGCATACACTAATTTTACTTGTATTTTAAACGTATCTATTAACATAGCTGTCTCATGTATCTACAATGTACAAAATATGCAGACATGTTATGTTTTAATTACTTAGATATTAGAAGTCTCTAGGAATAGATACCTCTTATAGACGCGACTCTTTGACATGCAGGTAATTATAGTTTAATGTAAATTTTGTACTTATAATATTAATAACTTAGCAATACATTTTGCAATATATTTTTATCGATATTCGGCTTTTATTTTTCATCTTGCAGTGCTCTGTTCTCAGTTCAGATAAAATTACTATGTAAAACTGAAAGTTTTAATGATATTTGTAATTCCTAGAATTGTTCAACCGGAAAAAATTGTTTGTCTTCAGATTTATAACAATAGTCTAGAATTTTATATATCCATTCTGGGTGTACATTCTTGTTAATGAGGTAATAACGCTGACATAAATAAACTTTTCTTAAACTAGTAATAAAGCTAAATAAATTTCATAACTATTCAATTATTTTAATTAAGTGTGCAAAGAGTATTCAATTTTAGTTTATCTTTATTCAAAGATTAACTTTCCTTTATGTTATAGAGCAGACAAGGAAATAGGAAAAGCTATTATAGCTTTTTGTTTGTCGGACGCTGAACCGATATCGTACTCATAAATTGTACTAGATATTAGGTAATTTATAAGCTGCGAAGCAGATTGTCTCAAAGTTAATTAAAGTCATTAGTTACAGTAAAATCATAAAAATAAATATATTCAAAAATGTTCATCATCATGTATAAATAATATAAAAGTTTTTCAAAGAATTGAAAACTTAAATAAACATAATAGAAGGTAGAAAGAGTTTTTCAAATGATATCAAAAAGTAAATTTTATACAAAGTTAGTAATGCAGTATCGTAATAGGGCTTTACTTATTGTAATATACATAATTGTTTAGTTCTCATTTCCTTGATGTCCATTGCCTTCAGCAAAAATGTTTATGAGAAAATGAATGAAAAATAGTTTATGAGACATTGCAAAGAGGCCATCCCTAACGCCTCGGAACGTCTGAGATAGCTGACATACATTTAAAAACAACGATCTACTTTTAAATATTCTTTAATGAATGCTAAATATCACTATTTTAAAATAATGAACTTATTTCGATACAAATTAATAAACACTTTTGACTACCATCGGATAGAGTACAATAATTTAGGAAGAAAATTATACTTATACATAGTTACATTGTAGAGTTTTTTCACTGCTTTATACTATACTCATTTAGTTGCTGAAATGGTGTTTATAGATTAAAAAGTATATTACTTTACAAGCTTTTATAAAAATAATTGATTAATAATAAGACGTATGAAAATATTACAAGCTATATTCGAGATTTTTGTGTTGAATCCAAATGATTTTATTGAAAGTGATTTTCTTTTCATGTTTCTCTAACTGATAAATAAAAGATTACTGCATTCAACTTATCAAGGTATAAATAAGACTTCTTTTCACTTTTTGTTCCATCTTTCGAATTTATCTATATTTAGTAAATAATATTCAAGTGAATGGAAGACAAATAAGGATAGTTAATTATTAACACTTATTATTTTCTTATAATTCTTTCCTAACATATGTGTCTTTTATAAGCAATATCTTATTTACGCTGCTTATTAAATTCTTTGCTAAAAAGTGGATATGCTTATAACTTGGACGTATTACGCCCATGTTATTAGGCATTGTTGTTAAATAACATTAACGTCTTAAGAAATCTTAGCAGTGTTACATTAAAAAGCTGATATTTTGAACTTACACAGTTGACAAACAAATTTTTATTTGCCAAACAACTTTGCAGCCGATAACTATTTTAAAACGGCATACGAAGTACAACTGTATTTATAATCAGTATTCCCCTTGCTGTTGCTAAAAATGATCAAGTTAACCGCTGTGGTGATTTTTATATTTCTTACTGGGAACGTTGTAAGTATTTCTTACATTCATTGGTTTATGTGGTTGCAGGTTGGCTATTATAACTTTATTAAAACTGTTTCTCAGTCTTTAATAGGATTACGCATGTGTTGAAGTCGGCTTAAACATACAAGGGACATTCTCGTACTCCTGTCTTATAAAATGGAAAATAACTTATATGTCTTAAAATTTATAAATAGATATAGGTAGTCGTGTACGATAAATAAAATTTAAAAAAAAAAATAGACGTACATAACAATTCAACTTTCATCATATCGTTAAAAAGGCAAAACATTCGTGGTCTAAAAGGACTAGCTTGATTAAAATATACATTAAAATTCCGACTAATCGACGTCTACGTATATTATTCCTTTTATTTATGAAGTAGTATAATTATTTACATTCACAAAAATATAACTCTTGCATTTAAAATGAATTCTATGTAAAAATATTACGAAGGTTAATAGTATATTAATATATAGGATTTATCTATCTGTGAAAGATACCAAAATTATGTTGGTAAATGAAACTAATATTTTCGGATTACTACATGTTGTTTTATTATTTTTAAAACAACATACTCGCGATATTGATAAGACATAGTAGATTATCCGAAGTAATCCGAAAATATTAGTTCCATTTAAATGAATACTCGCGAAAATCTTACATTTCATTAGTATCTAGGTACAATTTCCTAAATGAAATCTTTTTACACAGATTTCAAAAATAATCCTCCCGCACAAACTGCGATATCTGGAGAATATGTTGAACGCGGAAGTGGTTGCTAAGGCGGCCAAGATACGCCAGCGGCTGGAGGCAAACCCTGGCACGGCAGACAGTGACAAGAGCTGGCCCCTTCTACTAGCCCAGTACCACGACGAAGACAAACAATCCTATGCCCACAACGGCTTCTACGTACGAAGACCACCCAATCTATAAACTTATTCATAGATATTCGTATAAGTTAATTTGAAAAACAACAAAGTATATATGACATGTTTTTAATTTAAATATAGTAATTAAGACAAAATTATAGTTGTATTTATCATTGCTCAAAATGTAATATGGCTACAAATGACATATGTAGCTAATTACCTTTTTACCTTACTGGCTAGAAAGCAAGAAACTACAATATTAGAAGTAATTACCTACTGTGCGCCTTTTTCAAATGACTGTAATATTATTGAAAGTTAGATTTAATCCTACTCACAATATCGATTTTTTTAACTTAAGCGTAACAGAATAATGGAAAAAATATTTTGATCAACTGTCTAACTATAAAACAAAAAAGAAAAAAATAAATTTATAACCTGATTGAAAGTTTGCAAAATTTTAAACTAATTCAAATTAGGCGATAAATTTATTTTAAAATTACATTCTTTTTCTCTATAAGTAACTTTGTTCTACATACTATACTCAGCAATTTCTCTCAACTTACGAATTGAAAATTCTCTCGCAATAAGTTTGATATTTACAAAAATAGGTAAAAAACCGTTTGAGTTGACAATATAACTGTTACACACGAAGTTTGTAAGACTTTTCAAGCGATCATTACCGTCTTATGGCCATGTAGGTAACGATTACAGAATTAAAATACAACGAAAAAGAATTCCCTCTACAGCGACATTTCCATAAAGAACTAACACCTGCGTACTATTAATTTTTATAGAACCAATTTTCTTAATGAAAATCTATATCTAATTTACTCGAAAATTATAAAACCTGTTAGGTAAATATTTAGAGCAGTAATGTTCTAAACTTTGCCAATTACGTCAACATCTGACACTATCCGTATATTTATAGACAACACAGTCAGTACTTTTTTGACTTTAAAGACTGTCCGACTTTAAGATGTGGATGTCTGTTTTAGTACGTTAGTGTATACGAGTTGTCTAATGACCCATTTATGTGTAAGTCGAAATATACATCCAAGTATATGTAAAACCGTAGGGACAATGTAACTCCATTTAATTAATTTTCCAAGCCCCAGGGATCTTAACAAACACAACATATAATGTTTGAAGTATATTTATTACAATATATTATATTAGACATCTTTTCAATCCATTTGCACATGATTGTCAAATTTCGGTTGCCGCCATTTTCTGCTCCGTATTTTGACAAGAGATCAATTCATTATTAATTTATATAACAATCTAATTTTGCGTGTAGAAACCTACAGCTGTCTCAAAATTAGGAGAACAGATTTTAGGGTAACTATGAATTTCATAACAATAAATCAAAATAAAACATTTTTATTGGCATCTAGGTTGGCAGGCTGACCACATTCGAGATACCTACTATAAAAATAGGCCGTAATGTAATATGTTCACTAAACAATTTTGATGAATCCGTAAGCTTTATATTACGATACAGCACCTTACAAAAATATAATTTATATTCTCACATTAATTTCCAGACAGACAACGATATACAATATATTTATAAAATAAATAATTGTACTTCGAATTTATTACATTTAAAAAATATCAAAAATTCATCTTACAAATCTGTCTCTGATCATGTATTATGCTTGAATATTTAACAAATAAAATTGTTAACAAAAACATCCATTACTAAAAAGAATCCAATTGTGATGACAAATTAATTTGAATTTAATTAAAAACATAACTAGTATTAAAAAAAATATGCTAATTAATGAGGTATAAGAGAGTTAAATAAAAATGCTGTTTTAATTACAAAAAAATATTAAAACCAATCAATCAACGCACGAAAAAGGCATCATAACCTCTTCGATACGAGGCACAAGCATAAAACATAACCCACAATGCGATTCAATACGGTAACAAATTACATAAAAAATATTATTATAACAAATAGGAAGAACTAATAGCACATTGCGCTAAGTAAAAATACTTACTTTATATTACAAAAACAATATAATCTCTAGACCAGATGAACACGTACCGACAATAATTCCAAAGCATTTCTGCTTGGAAGCAAACTGTCGCTAAGTATCCCACTGAACATACAACATACTTACACTAATATACATATATTTTTTTCCTTTGCGAAATATACAATTTGATATGTAACATTATGTACAATACAAAAAAGAAATAAACTAAAGGAAAACCTCGCAAAATAAATAACATAACTCGTTTCGCGTTTTTACTATTTTACATATTTATGCGCCAACGACAGTCACAGCCCAATCAGCTTTCATAATAAATATACGTAATTAGCGACGTGTTTACATTCAGTAGACGAAATGCTTGAGATGTTTGTGCTAAACCAGAATACATTGAGCTCTCAGTTGAAGGTTGTCCATCCTTCGTGTGTGCTGGCCTGTGGAGCGGACAGTTCAGATAAGCCGAACTGACCGAAGTCTAATCCGTACTCATGTAGGAGTGCACTATCCGCGGAAGTTTTGATAGTTTGTTTGTCGTCTTTATCCCGATACTTGAGAGGATCGAAATGGTCGAGGCCGGTCGGTGAATCGTCTAGCTGTATGAGATCTGTGCCACATGACTGAAACAGAATTACCAGATTAGTCCGGTCGTGGATTCTGGTGCAGTCTGATGCTCCTAACTATGCAACTTTCTGTGGCACCGGGGTCATGGCGGCCGTCACTCGACACTAACTACTAATACATAATTTATTTGGAAACTTACCATCGATCATAGAACAGGTGGAGATGTTTATATTATTTTAATTTCTCAAAAATAACTACTGTCGCCGTTTCGTATTTCCCAAGTAAAATTTTTCAAGAGTGTCTGAAAAAAAACGGTCAAGTGCGAAATGGCATCGCACGATTAGTGTTCCGTACTCCTTATTAAATTAATATTTTATATGTAAATCGTTTTACAAAGTGTCACCGGCTCATAAAGTTGATCTCTTTATAACCTTGTGTTATATGATTATTTATTAAAAATATGTAAGGCATGTTTATTACTATATTTACTAAATTCTTTCATTTACAGTGTTATTTACCATTAAGAAGTTTCAAAAGCAACTTACACTTTTTTGTAAGTACCAGTTAATTTGAACCAGCAAGCGGTCTTTGCCCACATTAGTTCATTTAATCGTCATCAAATAAAAGCATTAATCATTTTGCATCGAAGGTCAACGTGAATTTTACCTCAGTATAACCCCACATTGTACTAACAATGAGTGAAAATACATCACAATTAAGAAATATAAAACAGTTGGTAACACTAACACAAAACACTCGTAAAAAAACACAGTGTTAAACCAAACGGGTGATGTAAGATTTGAAAACAAAACGGATAGGAACATCGCAGTTAAATATCAGCAACGGACAAAGAATGACATGTTTACATCATATTGCATACAAGCATAAAGTGTGTACGGAACTCATCGTGTACCCTTGACCGCTTTTGAATATTATAAATACTTATAACGGTACCCAAGAAATGTTGCAGAATCAGGAACTTAGTTTAAACTTTGATATTCATTTAAAATTATCTGAGTAATAAAAAAAAATATAACGGGGTTATGTAAATAAAATAGAACAAAATGATCGTCACTTTTTAATATTGTATATATATGTATATAAATTATAAATGGTCACAGTCGACGTGTCCTTATAAATAAATAGTGAGGTTTACTGAGTGTAGCTAATGATTGATAGACAAATGTGAGATTTAGTTGGACAGTGTTAAATTATCGTAACTAAACATTAGTGAGTACATGCAGAGTTAAACGTGCCTCTAAGTATACAGGGCAGCACTTGCTGCTACCAGTACTAGGACATACCTACTTCTATAACAGAATCGCTTGACTGACAATCGATTCATTAACACCAGACAGGGTTGCCATTTCTTAACATACAAACGGATTTTAAAATAAAACGTTTTGTTATAATTAAAATGGAAACCGTGTTATTCAGACTATTAAATTAAAATGAAATTATTGTAGAATCGCCGCGAATGTATTGGTACCAGAATCCATTTAGTATTATAAAAATTTCACACATTAGGAAGCAATTATATTTGAATATCTATCGCTAGTGTCTTTGAATGATATTTATAGAGATCTAGATATTAATGTTAGTTTTTCTTTCTCATGTTAACAATCACCATTTACCTATGAACGTGATTCAGCTGTGTTGTTTTACATTCGCTAAGACTATTCCACATTAATTCATAATGCATAAAGCTAGTGGGAAGACATGCTCTATAAACAAAAACATTGTACAAAACATTCCATACAAAATGTATACGAAAAAATAAAACATAAAAAGCGTCGTGAAGCGATTCCAAGTATCATTTTGTCCAATAATTACTGAAGTTATTGCATTACCGAATGTCTTTCTCCATTTACCTAGTGCCATATACAAGTGTACTTCCACAGTGATAATTCTCATACATTTGTATAGGATGGATGTCGTTTCTTGGGGACACTCCTTGTGGTCATTGGAGGGGGGGAGCGCTCGTGAACGCTATGTACATAATTGATAGTACAACAACGCAGATGAGTATTACCTCTTGGGTCCGGCTCTTGGAGGGTCGAGGTCGGTGCTCGGTGCGAGCGGGCGCGGGCGCGGGCGGCGGAGCGGGAGCGGGTGCGGGGAGCGACCGCGCATGTGCTGATAGAGTCAGTTTGAGTTTTGCCTTATCGTTATCCTCCGTGAATCGGATGGCGCTAGTGTGAAACTCTGTTGGGACCTCGTGCTTAGTTATGTTCGTTGTAAAGTTTGATACGGGTATAGCTCGCGGCGGGGGTGCTGGCGCATCTGACAGATCTATGAGCTTCCTGGTGGATACGATGGGGTACCTGAGGGGAGGGTGGGGGCGTTGCGGTAACCGCGGTGGATTTAATGTCTTCTGCAAACAAATACAACATGATGGGCGTAATGCGCGGCTAGATCATTCCAAAACCCTAAATATTATCAATTGACGTTACAAAACATTAAATTAATAAAATTACAACACACCGCTAAATGCATTGCTAGAATGACAATAACTTTTAAATGTTTCTATTCATCTATTCTGGGTGTACCATGCCAAAAATATATCTAGCTACGTTCTCACACGATGCTATCCACTATTAATGTAATGAAATGTTAAACACGGATACAAGATAAAATTTAAATACACTAAATGACCAACAACTAATTTAAAACTATACATAGATGTTCATGACAAAAGTCTAAAGTTTATAAGCACAAAAAAAAAACAAGCAGAGGAATTTTTTTTAATTCACACATTTAAAAAGCTAAAACACCCGGCCAGAACAACTTACATGACATGACATGACATCTTGATTAAAGCAACACAAACAATGAAAGTTCTAATGTGGTTTAGTATAGTCCGATGATAATGAAACGTAGGTACGTGTAGTGATAGTGGTAGTGAGAGGTCTTGTGAGGACTCACCGCCTTATCGGTTTCTCTTGGTGGAGATCTTCGCTCAGGGAACAAGAGCTCCATCTCAGTGAGCAGATCCAGAGGCAAGGGTACGGGGGGCGGGGGCGCTCGTGGGACTACCGTGAGGGGGACGAGGGGGGAGGGCGCCGGCGAGGGGGGAGGGGACGGCGACCGCGATGTAGATGATGAGTCAGATGACACCGGCGTCCCGGAGCCACAGGAATACCTTGAAGATAAAATTAACCAATGATATATAATAGTTCTATTGAGACACAAACCTAAAATTGATAAAACCAATGGGACCTAATCCATGCTAGGTCTTTACATGGAAAATTCTCATGATGCGAACTAATCACTACGTGCTGACTTTGGTATTAGGCTAGGAATTGCATTTTTTTAATGTAAGGTACATAACGTTTTAGATTTGGGTTTTTTTTTGGTTCAGTTATTCATTTGGTTTGTTTTTTTTTTTTTTGGCATACTTCTTTAAATCAAAGGAGAACCTGATATATCGCATTAATTATGATTAGTGCCATTCTATCATCGGCGTTGCAGAAACAATTCAATGCTGCCTCGTGCAATGCCAGACTACGCCTAGTGCCGCATGACAATGCCAGACTCCATATATGAAATTGAAGTAAACATGTTTCCATAAATAATTAACACCTTGAAAATTTACCAAAATTTTTAGGACAAATTCTGTCTCTATTTATTACGTACATATGTATCATGGTATCTTAATAAAAGATATTTCCACCTAATTTCATATATTCTAGAATGTATCAGGCCAGGTATATGATTTCGAATTAATAATTACCTATTTTCCAAACAAAAACGTATACACGTTCGAAAATATTAGACATTTTTATGCATATTTATAGGATCACTGTTTTTGGAATTTCTAATACCTAATCTTTGAACGCTATAGTCCTTTTGTATGCACTCAACATTACCAGATTTTCTGTTTTGATTTCAGAGTTGTTTCACTTGTCACATATACTAGTCATTAGTTTCTATTAGTTACCTGCTATCATCTGTAGTGTTTATGGAAGAGGGACGCGATCCCGTCTTAGGCATTTTATTCTTCAAACCTTTTACAGCCGATTTCATGTTCTTACCGCCCTGTCGCACCTTCGAATCAAAAAATAATTATTCGGCATCACTCATAAATTGCATGGTATTAAACACGTCATATAGTTATCAAGTAACCTTTATAATTGTAAATAGTTAATAGTTTGAAACCTTCCAAAATAAGCTACTTTTACTATTTATATCATGATATAAAATTTATAATTTTATTTTACAAATAAATACAAATTAATTGCTTTTCTGAAACTCAATGAATTATTTTTGAGATTCAACTCGATTGGATTTAAACAAACAAAAATGTTATTTATCAAATATCGCGAAAGAGGAAGAGATGTTCTTATTTATACATTTTATTAAATAAAAAATTGGATACTTTCTTATCTTATAAGGTAATCTTCATAATGTTCTTACCACGTAACAAGAGAAAAACCCTGTAAACCAGTACAAAGAAAGCCAAAGTAGATAAAGCTAACAGATGTTAAGGAAGCGCGTGATTTTAAGCGATTAGTTTCATTGTTATTCAATATTTCAATAAGCGTTGATAAGAAGCAGACCAAACGAGATTTCTATCAGTATTATACATAAAAACGACTTTGCAATTTAATTCAATCATAATTTTATTTATAATACAGTTATTGTTATTTATGTTAGTGATAATTGCACATTTGAGTGTTAAATCAACTTTCGTAATTAAAACGTAGCAGTGAGGATATATATTATTGCCTGCCATTTGATTCATACATTTAATACATCGTCTATCGCATGTCGCGATGTAATTATCGAACTAAATAACTGAAGTGAAGATTGTGAAGACAGAGTTGAATATATTTAAATATTCCAATCATTATTTAAAAACAAGACGGTTTCAACCGCAACAAGAATTGAAAAAAAACAATGAGACTAGTTACTCTGAAAACAAAAGAAAATTTTTCCTTATGATATTATAATAATCATTAAATTTGACAGCCCTATAATATTTTACATCTATTACACATTGCCTAGAAACTTTTTAATTTATTTCTGGCAATTTCTACTATTGCAGAGACATTTTTTGACAAATCCATGATATCAAATCAAAACTATGATCAAAATAAAGCCATATTTCCGATTTTGTAATAACGAATACTTTATATGTCAGGAAGAAACAACGCTGGCTTCAAAAACTAACACCGAACGGCTTATGATGAGAAAAGACGAGTCATGAAATCCTGATTACATATAAAAAAATAGTTCAAACTTAAAAAGGTATGAATTTAGATAATAATAAAAGGTGCTCAGATCTTTGACGGTCAGCGCTTCATTATATATAACAAGAAAACGTCTCTTGTGTAGAGACATCTGGTGCTTAAGAATTTTGATATCTTTCATATTCACTACTTAGTGGAATTTTGTGCACTACGTAAGCTATACTACAGTTGTCCTACTATTAATATAAAAAAAAAATAATTGCTTAACCCGAAAAGAATTTTAAATACTTAATTTATATAAATACTTTATATAATATATGAAAAATAAAACAAATATTACAATAAAAACAAATAAAAAACATATCACTCTTATTATTATATTATATTAAGAATAAGTATAAAACTATATAAACTCCGTGCCGCTGACATAACTATTCAAAACTAATATTTCATAAAGATTTATCGATAAATACATAAACGGACATATACAGCATGTATATAAATGAATATATGTATGTATATAATGTTACATGAACAATGATCAACAAAGCTTCTACTGCCACAAGTAGTGAACAGGTAAGAGTGCGTACACTAACTGTCTGACTCACCGTCTTGACGGCCGACTGTACCGCGGGATTCGCCTGTAAATATTAACAGGTTAAAGCAATCTGTCCAGCGGCAAGCGAGCCCTCAGTGAATTGACTACATGACATTAACGACGCCCCGCAAGCGAAGCGAGGCACTAGCCTTGTATTAATACTATATGCAAGAAGCCATGGGATGACAGCTGACCGAATCATTAGTTAGCAAAAGTTACATAGTCTCGCGAAGGCCATTGGAACGCGATACAAACAAGTCGGGTTTTAATCACAGATTATTAAATTAGTTTCATTAAAAGCGACCGTAGTCAAAGTTAAATGAGTTTTACCTAGACGATACTAGGACTCAATTTGTATTGACACAGAAGCTCATGTGGTCAGTGGAAATGAATTACGAAATAGGGTACAGTTACGTGTTTTCTTTGAGATTTAAAATTTTTTTGTACATTTTTACAATATATAAAACGTACAATGACCTTCAACAATTTATACAAACGGCGTCATATATCATATCTTAATGGAGGCTCACAACTCGTATGCAGCGACCCATCTAATGTAAGATCATTTCGCAGTACGAGGGCTGTTAACATATCCGTATATACATAGCAAGTGCTCGTTCCCTTTGTCTCCTCGTACCTTATCTTTGACTGTTTTGAAGAAGGCGCCCCCCTCCCTCTTCACCCCCCGCGCCCACTCGCGGTACTGTTGTTTGAGTGTGTTCACCCCCCCTCCGCCAGCCCCCGCTCCCGCCAGACCCGCCCGCTCCGCCTGTCGCGTACACTCTAGCTCGAACTCATCGGAGAAACCACGGCCGGAGTTCAACAACTCCAGCCGCTCATCTATAAACTGAAAGTAAGAATATTTACCACAGTTATTTTTATATTCAAAAGAAACTTTACTGACAACGATGAACATTGAAATATGTCTACGTATTTACGTATATACAGCTAGGTACATTGCATCTAGTATGTATACTATATATAGAGTTTCAGTGTGTAAATATAGAATACCAATTTATGGCCAGTTTCTTTCAAACTTCCAGAGAATTATACAAACATAACGTATATGTAAATGTTATTCCACTGTTCCGAAAAAATTAAGTACAAACGGGTTCAATTGCGTGATTTACGAAATGAAATCAATATATATTTAAATATATTTTAGCTCGGATTTCAGTAGGATGTATTGAATCCTCAAACTTGGCTTTATAAAAGAAACAATAAGTATTGATATATAATAAATAGGAAGATGCTATAAGATGATATTTTTTAAGTAGGCCACTGCACTGTATCTCTCTGAGGTATATAGTAATGGCGAGGGTATTTATAGTTTATGTATATTGTTTTGTGTAATCAATGAAATATTAAGTATAAGTTTTGTTTTATTGGAAACGTTATCACAAAAAAAAATTATAAAAAAGTATAGCATACACATTTATATATATGGAATGTTTAAACATATGTTTGAATTTGAAATAATTTACATAGTATATATTTGGAATGATAAATTATCCCCGTATAAAAACTATCATTGTCTCATACTGTGCCTAAATAAATTGTTCTTTACGAAATAGTACACTATTTAAAAACATTAAATAAGACATAATATTAAATAGAACATAGAACCATATGATCATATCGTAAACATATTTGTTGCATATGTACAAGCATTTTGATTTGGCAAATTATTTTTACGACGCACGATTTCAAGACTTTCTCCAATTAATATAAATGGAATAAGTGCATTCATATTCTATATATTAATTATATTTCAGCTGTCTCTTCATACCTGTTGAAATATTTGAGACTGAAGTATTTTGCGGAGAAAAGGCTGCATATTTTTCCTGGTTTTCACAAAAGCCTCTGGATTAAATGTGATTAATTGACCTTTTTCAATTCTGGAATGTAAAATAGAAAAAACCTTTAGTCCTTACGATTGGTGGAACAAACATGACACATCTATTCAATTTAAAATTATACATTGTCTTCTTCCTTTGATAAAGATTCTATACTGAATTTTGAATAATGAATAGGATGTTAATATATGAAGATAACAACTTATTATAAATATCAGAGAAAACTTTACATTGAATAACGGAACAGACAAAATGAATATCCATAGTCGTATATGACTAAACGCCTTAATATAGAATAAAATATATATAAAAAAAATCAAAGCCACAACAAGATGTATATGTGAGGTGGAGGAATGATTTTTACTTTTCATGCAAAAACCAATAGTTAAAGGGCATTGAGAGAGAAGGAATTGTTTATCACGAGCGTTATAATACCTGATAGCGTCCCGGTACCCCCCGATGAGTGCGACCAGCGCCCGCAGGAAGGCACGGGATACCGCGTCACCTAGCGCCTGGCGGTCAGCGAGCGACCGTCTGAGGGCACCCACCACCTCAGCAGGAAGACTTTCAAGATCACGGAACGGACTCTTCAGCTCGTTGGAGTCCGCGTCTAACACCACCACGTCCCCGACTTCCGACATCCGGACCGTCTCCATCACGCTCCTAGGAACACCGATCAAGAACGGCATCGGTGCTAACAAGTAGTCCACCAAGTGAGGCGGTAGGATCGGAATGAAAATATGCTGCCACGACATCGGGAACAACGTGTCGTTAGCGGCTTGAACGCACGCAGCGAGCCGCGCCGGCTTGGACGCGACCACCGCCACCCGCCGCTCGTGCAACAAAGCCGCCCACAGCGCAGCCATACGTCCGGCCTCTAGCGCGCTGAAGTACTCCGTCAGATTGCACTGCAAAACGAATATTGATATAAATTGAGGCGCTTTGATAGAAATAGTTGCTGTGGTCGTAGATGCTCACGTTGTCAGGGATGCTGGGCAATCCGTTCCCAGGACAGCGGCATGTGAAGGCTCCACGGCCGGCGTCGTATGTTACTCGCAGTGTGTGACCCGGAGCCGGCGGGCGGATGCGACACGCAGCTAGAAACGCGGTCAGCTCGCCACGCTCCGGTCCATTCTCTAAGGTCGCGATGCAGTTCAACAACCTACGGCCGTTCAGAAATCACAAACTGAAGACATTTAAACATCCAAACCATAAGATTATAATAAAGTTTTGTACAAAAATATTACATATGTTAATTTTTGCAATGACTTTTGCAATATTAGCTAATACAAGCAATAGCGAAGAAATATTTGCTTCAAAAATTAAAACAACACTTCGGGAAATTGCAGACGTAAATCTTTTACAAACTGTATATTTCATCCTGTATCAGTCAGTAATATCCTACTGCATAAAGGCCTGGTTGGGGCAGCTCAAACATACATACGTAATCAATCTGGAGAGAGCTCAACGTTCTCTAATAAGTCAGGTTAAAAAAACCGTATTATTACCTCCACCACAAACTGATACACAGAAGTGAAAATTCTAAGCGTACGACACCTTTATATTAGCCACTCACAAAAATTGTATTAAAACCCCCCGCATATAAAAATACAACAAACTGCAGAGTTAAGGTACCAAGTATTACAGTAAAAACCGTGATTTTCCTTTTCTCTTTCCTTATACATATTTACAACAAAATTAATAAAATTTCTGACCTCATTAACCCCTCATTTAGTAAATTTATTAATAAATTGGTCTTACAATGATACCATACACTTTATAAAAATAGTCAAATAAAAAACTAAATAACGGCAATGGTACGTTTCCTTTCGATTAGGTAAGTATAGACACATGCTCGCAGGGAAGCACACACGCATACACCCACACATACACACTCAACTTCTTCACTTCACTTGCAAATCATACTTTCGAATGATTGACTAGTTATCTTTTTTCTTTTATAATAGAATTTTTAACTGTTGTAATACTATAATATCATAAAACTTGTTTAAAATCGTTAACGACTGAAATACAGAAGGAAATCACAAATATTTTATGGATATACCACTTTATCTGTTTCAATACAGACCTAGCCTAGTGTGGACGTCAACATAGACTGTAAATTGCATTGTAAAGTGTTCTACATATTAAAAAATGTATAAATATTCGCGTTTAAACAATATAAACATAATAGAACAGAAATAAGTATTGTAATCAAATCTATAACCTAATTGTGTATACTTTAAAAAACTTTGCACAGCACAACTAAACTAGTTTTTAAAGTAAAATAGAAGGTATGAAAAAAATTAAATATAGTACAATTAATTAAAGTAGATAACAAATAAGAAAATCGCTCAGAGTTAAATCATCACAAGCATCAATAGTTACAATGTACCAAGGTCAAATAAACTAGAAGCAAACGGTCTCTATTAAACATTGTGCATTGCATCAATTGCTATAGTTAAGGATGAGGGGAATAAATCTTCATGGAATTCAATACAGGAAGTGCTTATTCATTTATGTAATACATTAGATTTTATTCGCAATGCTATAAGGAATAAAGTAAATTATTATATAACTATTTTATATGTAAACTCTATATCCTGCATTCTTTTTAGTTCATTCAGATCAATTCAAATATTGGTATTCAATTAAGGTACTCTCAGCATATAGTACCCAAATATATTAATAATTCCTGGTCATTTTATATATATACTATAATTAAATACTAAATAAAAATAATGATTTTTCTCTTTTATCGCCTAAATAGTTGAAACATAAAATAGTACTTTTGTTGTAGATTTAACCACTTTAAATAAGATTTCAATGATTATATCCATCGAGCAAACTTTAAAACAGTTATACAATATAAAGCCTGTCTATGTAAATTATGCTATTTATTTAGATTTAATCATAATTTGTATCCCAGAATTGCATAGAAAAATGAAAAATTAAATAGTAATGTTATAAATAAAAATTAAATAGTAATAGTATACCGTAAAAAATACTTAATATTATATTTTAAAATTACTTATATTGAAAATGACAACATACTTGTAAAATATATCGTGCCATGGTAGATGTGACAACAAAACCAGGGCTGTGTTGGTTTTTGGATCGTAACGGCAAAAACAGAATGTATATTTGGAATCCACTGAAGTCAGCACAAATGAATAATGTTGGATGAATGTACTGAAACAAAAATATTACATTTTAACATGAACTACATTATTTTCAATCAACCATGAATAATTTGCATTTTATACAATGAATACATTGAATTCAGGAAGCAATTAGTCACTATGTACTATAGAGACTAGTTGTATTATGCTATAATAAAACATTTTGAATGTCCTAATTTCCTGTATAACTAATAATTACATCAAATTATTACTTACTTTTCCAATTTACAAGGAAATGTAAACTTAGGTACATTTTTTAACTCTTCCTCATTTTTGTATGACTCAGGATATTTTCTGATAATGTAAGGCTCTCTTGTTTGGTCACCGGGGGAAACTTCACAGAATAATTCAAAAAGGAAGCGCACAGTATCTCTAAAAAACATGAGTTTAAATTATTTTTGATAATATTAAAATTCACATATTACTTAAGTAACACAAATTCCTAGACCTTTGATAGTAATGAGAGACTCTAGATTTATAATGATATCATCATAGCACACTTATTACTTACACTCTTGAAATTGAATAGATTACACTCATGTTAAATACTACAAACAAACCAATAAGCACATCTACAGGAGAGTTGAAAGTTACATAGTCAATAAAAGGGGAGTAATCAAATACACTCCAGGCTATTGCCTGTAATGTGCAGACGGTTTTGATCACACACAGGAAGCTAGCGTCAGTATAATAGTGTCGAACTAAGAAAAGGATTGAAGTTAAACATCACAATCTGACATAGGTTAGGTGATTTGGCAGTATTCTAGAGTACTTTTAAAAAGAAAGCTTAAAAATGTATAGTTTTTTTCAAAGTTCTTGTGAAGTATTATTTTTACCTTAATCTGGAACCCATATCTAGACTTGGACCTTCTAAATTTTGATTACATTTTATTGTGATTATTCTTTAGCAATTATTCTAAAATTATTCATTTTATGAAACATCGCAGGCCATAGATCACTGTCCTAACATAAGGTACATATTTTTATAAATTTAATTTATATATCATTTCAAACTAATGAAAAAGACTAGTGTTATTGATACAATCTTTTAAGACTTAAAGTAATATGTTTCACTTTGCGCAGAAGTCAGAAGTCGAAACGTTCATGAAACAATCATCTTACCACAGACTAAAAAATTTGAAAAATAATGATAAAAATAAACAGGCTTTTAGTAAAACAAATAAATATACACAAAATAGTATTTGTTATTTCAAAAAAGATATAAAAACGGTATCAACAAAATTAAAATAAGTATAGGATTTTCTTAAATATAAAACATAATTTATAAAGTTACCTAAAATATGACGTTTCATGTTTATAATGTCAAAACTCGAGGCGTATGTAGCTAATAGAAATAAAATTTAATCTGTCAACGACATCACTTTCACATTTTTTCTTTCCGTTAGAAAGTTTATTTCCAGAGGTTTGATCAAAAAATAAAGTATTTTCACAATTTCTTTACCTATAACATGTAAAAAGTACGACTATACATTAAAATATTTAATGAATAAATGTGATTTTTTTTTTCATTTTTTGTTACTGTTTTTGTTGAACTACAATTACATTAAAAATACGTATTATACCATTGCAGACACTACATAGTCTTCGCAAAGTTTTTTATTTTTTACCCAACTTTCTGCCGACGAAAGCAAACCCAACGTCGAAACCACAGAAGTGGAAGAAAAAATTCGTGAACGATATCTTAGAGCCATATTTAGGGCTGAATAGTCATGGTCCATATTTTATGCCAGAACTGTACCTAAAGGTAGATTTACTAACGGGTCCAAGCCTTGTCCATGACAGACGACGGAAAAACCTTAAACGGTAAATTTACAGCCAGACTCATAAAAAACACCGTTTAGTTTATTTTGACTACAAAATATGATTATCCACCAGTACTAGTAATCACAACGGTACAACCTTCCTGATAATGGAATGTAACGCTTCTTGTTTTAACTCTTATTCAGTTTGTACATGGAAGACATTACGATGTTGAATTCTATAACTCATCGGATTTATGGCGATACTGTGGGATCCTGCAAGCTTGGACTACCTCTACCTTTGAGCGGGCTTTAATGTCGGCTCCCCTGTAGTGTTAGGAAGACGAATTAGAACACGCAAATATGGAACCATTACTCCGTGAGTTGGTGGAGAAGCCAAGTGTAGCACCGACGAGGTTGTCCCCAGAAACAGTGCTGGCTGAATACCACCAGGAAGGGTGGCGAGGCGAAGAAGTAAGTTGTTTCGTCTCACAAGCATCCTTCCTCGCCTGCGAAGTGACGGAGCGAAAAGGTCTTCCTCCCGCTCTCTCTCCGCCTTCTACTTCAGAGGGATAACATCTTCACACAAGGAGGAAACTGCCAGATAGACCTCTACACTTCCGATCATAACGTAGATGACGCTTTGAAGTGAGAAGTTGGCCCTCACCACAAATTTCAATTCGTACCGCTGTGTGGCCCATGACGGCACGCAATACTATCTCAGTGCCTGCTTATTTATAAAAAACTCTCATTAAGTGGTCTTTTGTTTGAGGTATAGTTTCAGTCTTAATTTTTATGTTCAGCGTTTATTCCAGTAATATCCTACAAAATGGTGAAGCCATTATTTACAATTTTCATATTCAAATTGATACTTAAATGTTGCCATTAGAAAATTACAATGGTTCAGTAATTTTATTAATTATAATGAACTGCTTCGTAAAAGAAATGCATTTAAAACTAAACTCTTTTCAAAAACATAGTTCCAAAGAGCTTTTTAAAGTATGCATTTGTTAATGCAAATTTAATTAATAAACACAACGTCCACTGCACATTTTCACATCACATTTATAACAATCTGCTAATCTCTAGTCCTCTTAATATATTTACTATATAATATAATTAATTACTTTGCCCTATACTTTTTGAATATTCATTTTTTTGTCACTGTTTTGGTCTGTAAGCTTTTGATTAGTGAGAATTCGTTTAAACAGTTTATTAATGTAATAGTATTACTCATCTTTTAAATTAATTCAGCATAAAAAAGAAGTACATTTTTTTACCTCTCAAGAAAAGGGAAGATTATCACAAGAAAATTAAAGCCATTTTGACTAGTGGACAAGCCAGCATGCTTTATCGTAATTAAAACGGCAAAGAACGTCGACGGCTTAGTGAGAGCTAAGTTCCCTACTAGTTTCCTAGATATAATGAATGTGTAGTCCTTACTTACTTAAATCCTAACTAGTTTCATACAATTTTGTACAGATAGGTGACAGATTACTTAAGATAGGAAGAAGGGATTTAATGCGAGGCACTAAAAACTACGGAATACAATAACTTCATTTTTTGGAATTATAATACATACTTTCATGCTATGCCTATACATTTTTTTAGCCTATCAGATCCCACCTCTGAGCATAGGCCTCTTTCTGTCATGGAGAAGGTTTGGCCTAAACACATATATCATAACGCTTGCTCAAGTCGGGTTGGTGATTTCAAACTTATAATTGTGAAATTATAAGTCCAGGTTTCCTTACGATGTTTTCCTTTACCGTCTGTGAGTGGTGTCTAAATACTCATAGAAAGTACAAATGATCGACCCCACGCCCTCCGCAACGAGAGGCGGGCCCTTTAACCACTTCGCCTCCACTTGTGTCCATACATAGCCTACTAAATATGTTACATATTTCATTCCAATACGTTTTTATACCAGTGCCGTAACTAGGGCGGTGCCAGCAGTGCCCAGGCACAGGGCACAGACCCTGGAGGGGCGCAGAAATTACCAGAGTAGTATCTAGTTTTATCTCATGCATTTTAGCTATATACTTATATACTTTGGTACTTTGGTAAACAACAAATAGGTAGATTTATTTGTATGCACATTTGTCAATTTTATTTTTAGAGCCTGGTTAGAGCTTTTTCAGGGGCGCAGTTTTGAAAGCTCGCACCGGATGCATAAAAGCCTAGTTACAACACTGTTTTAGATATATTAAAGACGCAGCCCGGATTTTGCAGTAACAATTATTATGACTATTGCTTTAAACATTTTCATAATATGGGGCCCATCAGGTACTTCTAATTGCATATTTTTCTTGCAAAATATCAGATTTTCAATATTAATTAAATTTCTTTTTTGTAACTCGAGTAACCATTTCCGAGCTACGGGATAAAAGATTTAACTTATATAAAACTTTTTACTTACGTACACTGAAACAAATTTCTGCTTTCGTTCAGAAGTGTAGGGAGTAACATTGAAAAATATGAATAAAAATATAGAGTTTCTTCATAGTAATGGTAGACGTATTTTAGTTCATTATTTTTTTACTGAAACTGCTGTCAATGTAAAGATGGGTGGTATGCCCTATTTTTGAATTTTATAATCTTTATTTTAATTGATTTTAGAGTCTTCACCTTATATGTAAAGCAATATATTTATTTCTAAAACTTGGAAATTCCGTTCCATCTTTGTAATCCCCATATTTTTACGTACATAAAAATCTTACTATTTTATAATAAACAACATGTTCTTGAGGTAAATCATAATTTTATACAAACTTAAACGTAGTTACATTTTTAGAAATAATTAGATATTTTTTTAATAGCCATCTTAAATTATAATAATATAATGTGTATTCTGAAAAATATTTATATAGTCGACAATAAAAGTTTTACAACGGTTTCGTTGATTTCTTGAATAATAATATAAACTCCTATATTAAACAAACATTATCATACATAATTACCCAGTATAATGATGTGAAACATTTATATAGCAAAATTAAAAATACATAATTAAGTTTTAACGTAAATCTCGACGTTATAACACTACCCAGAATAGAGCAGATTTGAGATTCCTAAACGTTGTGTGTTCCTGAGCGCGTGCAGTGTGTTTCAACTTGAACCAAACGAAGGGATGATATTAGACTCGCGAAGGGTTCTTGGGCATCAATAAGTGCTAAAGAGAGAGGCCGTAAAGCTTCTCTTATCGCGCCAGCAGTCTGTGCCACACACACCAGAGGTGGACGGAGTACAGAGTTGAAGGCGAGCGCCAATAATGGCTTCACCAGCACGTCAACTGTAGTCTGTACTGCCCCTGTCACTGCCTCGCGTAAACTGAGCAGCAAGCATCTATAATAATAGACAAACGAAATGAAATTTACAAATTTATCTATCGCGTTACATAGCCACTACAGCTTTTAATAACTACAGGATGGAAATGAATGCTGTCAATAAGGTACATTATTATTTCTGAGAATGTACTGTTTCAAAGAATCGAAACAATCAATTTCAGTTAAACGTAAATAAAAGCACTAAAACATGTTAGGGAAACTATCCCAAAAAGACCAGACATAATCCCGACAAGTATTGAATAGATAGGAATGTAAATACCTTTGCAGCTGAAGGGCAACGTGAAGGACACCGCTAAATGCTAGTCGTGGTATAGCAAGTAATTCGTTGAGAAAAATGGCTGCAGGACGTGCGGCTTTCCGAACTCCACGTTCCAAACGAGATACGTGTCCCGTTCCTCGAGACACGAGCGCCCCACAACCGCTCTCAAACGCATATACCTCCACGCAATCCGGACCTTACGGACAACAACTACTGTTACATACATGGCCAATTCTTAGTGACATAGTAAACCATTAAAATATTACGTGGACTTGAAAATACTGTCTTAATGATACATTTTTTTTAATAAAAATACAAAGGTATAAAAGAAAATTTTACTCACCTTCATCGTAATCGTCAACTTGATGCTTACAGGTCCGTTGCATTTTCTGCCAGAAGTAAAGCTTCTTTATATTCTGCACGTTTTACAAAAAGGTTATGAAACTTTTTTTAACCTGATGTTAAACGAAATGAAAAAAAATAATTTATAAATCAACCTCATCGGGAGTCTCGAGGAGTTCCTGTACGTCGTTTTTTTCTTTCCTTATCGCAGTCTCATTGATCTGGCCACCAGATTCACCTAAGCCGCGTGCTCCATTCCAGCTTTTAGTTACATTATAAAAAATAACATATGGTTCATAGTTTATTTTTAGTAAGACAATTTAAAAGAAAAACAAACGAGATTTAATCCAACTGAAAAGGGTCACAAAAAAGTTAAAGTAACTGGTAATATAATAGTGTGGAATTTATATAAAGTTAGAAAATGTAGGACAATTTTCAACTTACGAGTGTTGATGAAGGGCTGCGAAAGCCGGACAGGCAAGCAAAACCGTTGCGGGTAAAGTCTTATTGTCTAAACTAGCAATCTATAAAGAAAACAAATGATTTTATAATAGTTATCATCGAAATAAGGTATTTCTGTAGTTATTTTTCACTTGCATTAGATTTATTTAGTATTGAAAATATTATAAATTATATCAGGTAGCATCCGTATTTCAAATTATTATTTAAAAGTAAGAAGAGTGTGCACCTATCTGATATAGTATATATTAGACATGGGGGCTAAGTTTTTTCCGAACTGTTAGTTATATACGGGGTGGCCCAGAAAGACCGAAGTGGTGTGAATTCCTTATAACTTTTTTATTATAATTTTTTTTTTTTTTTCTTTTCAGTATTTTGTAAAGAAGACTTGGATAATTTATAATGGAGCAATACACAATTGAACAACGTGCCCAAATTGTTGAAATTTACTTTTCAAATCAACGGTCCATTCTGTTGACTCAGCGTGCATACCGTCGTCAATTTAATGTGCGGGTTGCACCCTCTCAGTCAACAATAAACCGTCTGGTTGCAAATTTTCGAGAACAAGGAGCAGTAAGGAACCTTCTTGGTTCCGGCAGACACCGAACTGTCCACAAGGCTGACAATATTCAAGTGGTACAGGAGAGTATTCGGGAGGATCCAGAAACATCAACCAGGAGACGTTCGTTACAACTGGGCCTCTCAAGAACGTCGCTGCAGCGAATTTTGCACACCATAGGATTGTTTCCATACAAAATTCAACTTGTCCAAGAATTGAAACCAACAGATTACCAGCAACGACTTGACTATGCAATTTATTTCCAGCAAAAAGCACAAGAGCACAGCACAGCAATTTTAATTGGCCTCCGCGGTCCCCGGATTTAACCGCTCCAGACTGTTTTCTTTGGGGCTATTTAAAAGGAAAAGTTTATGTTAATAAGCCTAGGACTATTGAGGAGTTAAAAACCAATATTCGAGAAGAAATTAACAACATACCACCGGAAATTTTGCGAAATGTCATGGAAAATGTGTTGGAAAGAGCACATTTGTGCGAAGCAGAATATGGCCACCACTTGCGGGATATCATTTTTAATAACTAATCCAAAACTATTCCCCATAAATTTAATGTATTAAAAAAAAAAAATTAAAAAAATATCTCTTAAATAAAAAGTTATAAGCAATTCACACCACTTCGGTCTTTCTGGGCCACCCTGTATTATGACTAGCTAAACTTAAGGTTGCAAGAGCCCGAGTTAAGGACAGTTATTACTGCTTTATAGTATTAAAAGTAAAGAGACACAATTTCTTACAGGTAAACCAGATCGCACTGGCTCTGTATGCAAGGGGCTGGATGCTACCGGATGACGAGATCCAACTCGTCGTTGTTTCTGCACTACCACCTAAAAAAATTTACAATTATAAATATTTGTAAAATCACAACATAAAAACTGGGACATAATAGATTCCTTACATGAGATGCTGCGGGTGTAGGACTTATCAAGGAAAATATTACATACATCATATTTTATTGTTATTGTACATTATTGCATAGTTTGAGGTCATATAAATAGTTTGAAATCGTACCTGTACGTAAGAGGCTGACTGATCAGTGGAAGGTGATGTGAGAGGAGGAGGAGCTCCTGGTGCGTCGCCGGCAGCCATTACTCCTCCACCTCTTGCGGCTTCAGGGGCACCAGCTCGGCCCCAATGTTCCCCAGCCCAATCACCACTGTCAGTGGCTCCGCGGTCTGAACTTATCACTTCAGCGTCTGCAACATAAATTTTGTCAATATACATTTGACATTCCAATAGATACGTTTAAGGAACGATTATTATACCCAAACGAATGTTTGCAATTTCCGTTTCTCTTGCTTCCACTCCTTTATTCACAGTTGAGTTAGTTACAGTTGAAACAAATTTTCTTGGAGAAAGCGGCATTTTGATATATTTCTTCAGCACTTGTATACAAATAAAATGTTATAATGGCCTGTAAATGTCTTAAAATGTCAAGTTAGTTATTTTTTTAAATATTTGTAACCATGCGGACAGGTTGTGAATTTATTTGATTTTAATTAAGTTAAATTGAAAAATTCTTTTTGCTTTTATTTTTAATAAAAATACTGACACAACTTCTGTAATTAAGTTTAATACGAATAAATTTTCATCAGTCCAGCGTGGCAATTGTAATAAATATATAACTGGATTTATATTTGGTATGTATTACATCGTAAATAAACTCTAAGGTCTTCGATGAGGTTTGTTAGGTAACTTAATACTCTCACTTCAATTCATTGGCTGGTTTATATGTTAGGTTTTTATCATAATATGTATTAATGGCAATTATTAAATCAGCTATATCAGTTCTGATGGCCAATCCTTCTTTTTTGTTTCATGGCTGAAACGGTGAAGTGTTTTGAAAGTTTTATAATAAAGTAAGCAGATATTTGGTAAATTATAGACATATGCCTCAAGCAACATCTGATTAGCTGGAACCGCTGGTAATTGGCTGTAATATTTGGCTAATAAAAGCAATAATAAGATATGATATTGTCAAAATCTGATTGAAGATCTAAAGAAATAAAGTCCACTTAGAGGTACTGATATATAATCATAAATTTAAACATCAATCGTAATAGTATTAAGAAATGTTTAAATTGTTGGAATTTATTTGTCATCCTTTAAACTAAGCAAACCGTTTTTTTATATAAATATTTACCGTTTATTTCCATATTGAATTCTATTGTTTGTTCACGGTTCTATTATTTAAGTTCAATTTCCCTGAAATAAGTATTTTGAAAATTAGCATTCAGCCAAAGAAGTAACAGCGTAACAAAGATACAGGCGAATTGAAAACCTCATCTTATTTTAAAGTTGCTTAAAAATCTTGAATATTTGTTCCTTATGACATCACCTATTTGCAGTAGCAGTCTTGTCAAATCAGTGCAGTCATACCAAAGTTTTCGATAATCAAAAGGCAGACAGAAAAAAAAAGAATTTTTGATGTAATGATCTTATACCCATACTTTCAAATGAGTAATGCTAATCTGCTAAACTTAAATTAGAAACATACATACACTTGAACTTGTTTATAAGTATAATCTATAAATTTCATGAACAAAATATATGGAGAGGATATACATATTGTCAATTTTAATTTTCCTATATTATATATTTTTTTATTGAGCGATTTGGTTATCTGGTCTCACATTTATATTAATAAATTGTTATAATACAATCTATTAAAATGTCACAACTTTATTATATGTGCGTTGCAATTTAATATTATAAATTAGTTATACATATTTCTTGAAGTTTTTGAAGTTGCACCACGTCTTGGCCATTAAGTGTACATTCAGTGTTGCTTATCGCTTAGGTGAATTCCGAAATGATAAATTATTTGACAATAACTTTAAACAAATATAATTAATAATACCACGAACTGCTATCAATGTGTACATTTAATTTTATCTCTTGTTATATTTGTGAGCTTGGCTTCAGGCGAAGATGTTAAGGGAAAGTTATTTTAGGGTTTAATCTCCTGCTCGTCTTCCCCGGTTTCCGTAAAATATTTAAGTATAATCCGCATTTGGCAACGTGAGAAATAACAAAAATGTTGTTTAATTCTTTACTAATTCGATGATGAAAGTCAAAATTATTATTTTTTTTAATAATCCGTCTTATTATAATTTTTATCTTCCATTTAAAAAAGATAATATTTTATGTTTACACATTACAAAGTACCTTATATATAAACAAATTAATGACGGTAATAAAATAAGACGATTTTGTTTATGTTAAAAGTGTTGTAAATTTCATTAACATTCTTTTTTTCTTTAAAATTACTACCACCACCACCAAGATCGGATCTTCAGTTATATTTTAAAAGTCGATAATTTCGCTGCAGTGAGTATAAAAAGCTTACATACCATATTTAGAATAAGAAGTTTGCAAATAATATTTAGTTCAGGAAAAAAAAGATAAAATATTTCGTCATGTAGGCATATAAAAAACATTTTGAAAGACACACCAAGTCTCCATCCGTTGAATATTTTTATTTTAACCGTTTATTACAACTAACTAAAAGTTAAAATAAAATGCTTCATCAAAATTTCAAAGTATTATTACTGATTATGAATAATTATTTATTGGGAAATCAGTCGACTTATATGTATATTTTACTTTACGATTTTAAGAGCATTTCATTTCGAAGTACTAAAACATGGAAAAAAGACCTTCATTACGAATTCATTTTTAACTCGCAATATTAACACGATTGCACTGCGCTTAAATAATTGCTCACAAAGCTTTACATTAATTTTAAAGAAGTTATTTCTCATTATTCCAGAACAAGATTATCAACATATTATAATAAAAGGTATGTCATAGAATTAGCATAAAAAGAAGTAACGCGTTAGGTATTAACTATTTTATTGTAGATATATCACATAGAGAAATATAATAGAGGCAGTTTGGATAGTATTTACTGCTTGTTGGCGGCTTCGTGCAGCTTCTTCTGTACATCTTCAGCCTGTTTCACGAAGTCGTCGTAGGCCTCCTTGATCTTAGGGGTCAGCTTCTGGTTGGTTTGTTCGATGTTCGCTGACACTTCCTTCACCAACTTCTGGGTCTCCTGTTCATTAAATAAATCTATGATTAGTTGTACTCTTAACTGGCAGCAACGTTGTGCTTGCAGTTGGAATAAGAATAGTGTTACTTAATAACTTAATTAATTATACTTAAATGTTAAATGAATTATAAGTAAAGATATGGCTACATACAGCAACGGTCTTGGAAACGGCATCCTGGAGTTTTGCCTTGAGAGCGTTGGCTTGCTGTTCTACCTCTGGGTGGGATTTGCGCAGTTCCTCGGCGGTACGTTGCAGGTTAGCCTGGGCTTGCTCAAGAGCTTCCTTGGCCTTGCCATTAGCTTCCTTCAGCTATTTATAAATGAAAAATGATATCAATGTAAAAAAGTTATGTAATGTATATTTGATTTTCTTTAATAAAATCCTTTCGAATAAGTAAGACCACCTAACGTAGGTGATAATAATTATATGACATCGTTATGTTAAGTTTTTGTTAACCTTGACACTGGCTGATTTAATATCCAATGTCAACATTCGGTAAGATAAATAAAGGTTAAACGTTACTCACAGCAGATTGCACGCTGCCGGACAAAGCGGAGATCTGGGAGAGTACAGAGTCTGAACCTTCCTTCAACACCTTGTTGAACTCCTCGGTGTTCTTGGAGCTGGTGAGAGCGTTCAATTGATCGTTGAAAATCTTCTGGAACTCTTGGGCGTGCTTTTGCCACTCATCAAACATGTTAGGAGCATCGCGACGCACCAATCCAGCTGAGGCCTGCCAAAATTAAAGTTAAAAAAATATATGAACATTATGATCAGGAAGCTGTTAAAATTTTTATAATTATATGTATTTTAATGTTACTCACTAAAGCCAAGCAGGCGAAGATTACTACGATGAATTTGGCCATATTGATTTTCTCTTAGTGGTCGTTGGTGTTGTAAGGTCGAGAGCTAGTGAAGCTATGTCAGAATTGTCCTCCAGCTCAGTATATAAGAGCGGCACCGGTGGACTAGGGGTGGGGAATGGCGGAGAGGAGACGGGCTTGCGGGGAGCAGTTGTAAGAGGGATGGCGAATGATAACGCTTCACTGGGTAAAAATTCCTTTCACACGGTAAACACTGTCGTACTATGCCCTGTTGACAAAGTACAAACTATGTAATAATTATGAAAATTAACGTTATCTTTCCGTAATGTAGCCCTGACCTTACATTATGTGATGTTTAAGGTGACTACGTTTATTATTAATTAGTTCCAATAATTTCTATTAGTGCTATAAATTCATATGACTAAGTCTATCTAATTCTTGGTTTTTTAGGTAGGTAGCTATTTTAGAAACATTGAATTGCAAAGTATACATTTTTTTAAATATAATATTAATTTGACGTATGTAAAGTATATTAATATTTTTACTTAATGAATCTTTGATTAATATATAAATTGGTATAAGTTATACAAAGGTGATGACATATTTCATATCTGCACATTATCATTTATAAAACTGACTGACTACTTTTAAATTTTTTGTTACTAAGTAGATAAAATTTCAGGGCAACGTTGAAGATTTTTTTTATGACTGATGTTATATTTTACATACTATATTTTTAGATTATTTTTCAAACGCTTATTTCAGTAGTAATTTGATTAAATTTGCATTAATTAGTAGTACTGAATAATACTATTTTTTGCTAAAGTAATGAAGCAAAACTTACCGGAATCTTTATAAACAAATGACGTATGAATCATCCATCCAATGAGCACAAATTCTATCATATAGAATATGTCGGAACTAAACAAAGCATAGTGAGAAAAATATCCCATTTAAAACAATATTGCATTAAACATACAAATAAATCCAGAAATAAAAAAGTTTCATATTAGTATTTTTTTTATGCATTTGATTTTTACTTAGGCATACCTACTGCAGCCAGTTTTTTTTGTTGTTCTTAATGTTTTATATTTTGGTAAATACCTTCCTAACCAACGAGTTTTTCCCATAAAAGGGTATAAAATTGCCATACTTAATAAGTTATATTAATATATAAGTATACTACACTTGTTTTAATACACTTACCCAAATATATTACCAAATTACTCTAATCAATGGTGTGAGAATATTTTATACATTTTTTAATGACCTAATGAATTTTACATAACATATTTTTTTATAGCTCCTTCATATATAATCATCAAATAGTAGTTTTTATTTATTTAAGATCTAATTTATACTTTTCTCAAACATGATACGAGACAAAGTTGAAAGTAGCCTTTTCACTATCTGACTCAATCAAATATTATACGGAATCAGACAAATAACAATAGCACAATATAATAATATTATTCATCGATCATACATAGATACCTGCATACAAGTGTTTTATAACAAGTGGTTTGAGCTAGGATTCTCAATGTGTAGATTCCAATTTAAAAATCTATATTTTGTCTCGAAAAACGTAGTTGTGTAGGAAAAAATCCCTTAGAGAGAAAAATTATCGGCAGTCAACATTCTCCTCATATACTTTTAGATAAATAATCTTCTAATATTAATCACATTTCGATTCAAAAAAAGATTACCTCATATAAAACCTTCATTTTGACTAAACATTATTTTATTTTAAGTGAGTGATTGAACATTATTCTGGTTTAGGCATAAATTATAAAGAAGTGCTGAGATAACATTATCAGCGGTGAGCAACATTATACGAAATTAGTACGTAAAGAAAAGTTCAAGAATTGACCTAGAGTTGACGGTTAAAAAAATATTATATAAATTGGATAAGACAATCACTTCAGCTCACTCTCGGATGCAGGACAAAAAGCCAATTAAGTAATAAAAATTATATTGTCACATAAAAGAAATATATAAATTCTATACAAACTACTATACAATGATTATTTTCTGATGTCTAAAACAATTATTTTCTGATGTCTAAAACTCACTTAAACTTGGATGGTTATAAAATTTTCACAGGAATTCTCTCTTGCTTGAATCTAGTTGAATATAAGGGGACATGTTATAACAATTGCAATGTAAGCTCCAATTATATTTATTACGAACTATTATTCAATAATAAATGGTATTCGTCAGTATAAACCTACATTTTAGCCTATACATAACTTTACGATTGTAGTTATTATTACGATGTACCAGATAAATATTTTTATTAGTTATTAAAAAAATCTGGCGGGCTAAGAAACATTATGTTTACTTAAATCATGTAGATTTTAATCATTTCTATATAGATTCTGATCATTTCTATATCGCCAGAGTCGTGATTGAACCATGATGAGGATACAATGTACGTTATCACAATCACTAATTAATTACAAACAAAGTGTATACACAAACATACGTGACAGCGAATAGATGTTATTGTTGTTCCAAACAAAAACAAATAGTCATTACTTAAAGTACAACTATTAAAATATGTATTTTTGTTAAAACAAACACATTAATTAGGTGTGGCTAGTTAAAGGAGACCCTTTTTATAGACCAAAGCAAATGAAACATATTTCAATACACACTGTTCAATTTCAAAGGTCTTTATTGTTGTCGACAATATAATTGAAGCTTGTTTTAGTATATTTTTGAAACTTACTTACGATATAGATGCTTATACAATGATGTCAGGACCAAAAATACATATAAGATCTGAATGATGCTCCCCGTTCAGTAGTCTGCACTAAGTCTGCTTCCTCATTAAGCGCTGGACTCCATACATATAGAGCCTATAGGGTTGTCGCAATCTTTTGACTAAAAATAATACTCTTTTTAAGAAATTACAAAAAAGAATATAAAAGATTAAATATTTTATTTACAATAAATATTATATAAATATTGTATAGGCCATATAGACAGGTTTCTTTTTATAAAAATACTAAGTGAGTTTAATTGCTAGGAAAACTGTTAGAAGTAGTGGAAAAGTTATGTTAATAAAACGGAATTTGCATAAAATTGTCTTCTTCCTGAATCATGCCATCGTCTGTTTAGGAAAAAACGAATAACTATCTAATACTTAAGTTCACGTTCCAAGTTTTAACCTGGAGAATAGTGATTCTGCTTATGCATTCAATATTTTCGCATACTTACTTAAAGCCATCCAATATTTAATATAGTTCATAGTAACACAAGCCAATTATATTGTAATATAAAATATTTCCGATTGAAAGCAAACAGTGTTATCAGCGCGCCCCGAGAGCCGGATCTAAAGTCTTCGTCATTTTAATGAGCTGTTTATTTTCTAAATATTGCTTATCTTTATTTTCTATGTTATATAGTATTTGAAGTAAATAAGTCATCAAAATTTCCTGAAGCTGTTTATACTAATATTAGTAAAATACCAAATTTTTACTGATTATACATACCATCGACAATGTCCCGACGCCATGGTGTGACATGCCTATATGAGTTATGTAAATGCCTAAGTTGTGTGCAGTAAGTATTATTGGAGCATTTTAAAATTGTATAGATTTCGATAAAAAAATCAAATCTGTTTAAAAAAAATTGCAAGGAAGTTGAAGATGTGTTTAAACAACTTCATATCCTTATGTGTATCCATCATATCCGTTGTGCTCGGTTTAAATGTTATAATTAAACATATATATTGTTCCGAGAAAACCCTCATCTATGTCCAACAAAGCAATAAATGATTATTTAATAGTATGCTAGCAGTGACCTGATAATATAAAAAAAATCCATAACCATATGAGCAACTATAAAAAACACAGGGACCATTTCTCTATTTCATTAACCAGAACCAATTATTTCAACATTCAAAGATTTTATACAGTTCGAAGTTATATTACTGTTGATAAATTTTTAATTAAGCTAATTATGTATAAATATTTTTATAATAAATATCATATTTACTTTCACTACCTTGTGTTTTAAACTTCTTGGCAAAATGTTGACATGTCCTTAGATTTTATACGGAGTGTGACTCTATTTTGTCTATCAATAAATAGACCTGAATGAAGATATTTGGAATATTGTAAATTTTAGTTTTTTTTATTTATAAACCTACATCCGACAACCCTACGTTCGACCTATGATATGAATACCAACTATTCACGCCTTAAGCGCCATGAATGATGTTTTTGAATACAACTGAAGACAATAAACATTAATGATAGATAGATCCCATATTAATATTCCATACAACACCCGCGTTGTTAAACTCTTCATATGTACTTGTTATTAATTTCCGATGAACTATAAACAGAACATATTCATTTATTTGTTATGTTTGAAACAAAAATCTTAGAAAATTTGATGTTCGTTTGTTTCAAAAGTATTTAATTTCAAACACGATAAAAGTGTATAAATCATGAATGTAATTATATTGTTTCACTTATTGATTACTAATTAAAGCAAAAAACAAAATAATCAATTTCGTATATAATTATTGTAGTTCGATATTTCCATTTTTCTCAGATTCGATGTACGTATTCTTAAGTCAATGTCAGTTTAAATTATTTGTATCTGATATCAAACCCATACTTTTTAAAAGTATATAAGTGTATATCTACTGTAATTCTTACTTCTTGTACTCAGAAACCTTTCGGAAATCGGAGACATAAATAAAATTATAATATTCATTAATCTAAAAAATAATAGATAAAACCACATTCCCGCTACATGAGAAAATTTTATTAAGATATTATTAATTCTATTTATTATATACTTCTTATGTTTATTGATGGAGTGTACATTAATAACATCTATAAAACACATAAAAATTAATCCCTACTACTCTTTTAGTCGCAATATTTTGGGAATCCTATAGGAATTTCATTACTTTTCATGTTTTCTAATAGTTCCTTGGGATTTAAGTCCTCAATGAATTTTAGCAGACAAAAAAAAGACAGACAATACATCATTCTTAATACACTTTTTGTTGTGAAATATTATATATATCGTAACTTTTATGTCAGTATCAGTTTTTTACCTAATTGGATAATCGAACTATTTTTTAAACAGTTTCACAGTTATAAAATAACTTATATAAACCAAAGAGTATCTCTTGTTTTTAAATACTTTAACAAGTAATTAAGTTTTATTAATGAGTAATATAGTTATTACAGTAAACATAAATGTTGTTTATATAATGTATTCAATGAAATTCGTAGAATAAGATAAAAATATTTTATATAATAAACATTTTAAGTACCTAAATGAATAGAAAAATTAGTTTATAAGTCAGATACTATTAGGTCCCGAATCTCGAATATATGCTAAAGTGCCTGGATTTTATATATTTTCCAAAAAAATTCCCCTATAACATGGATACAAACTAAAGCGACCCTTTAAAACTGATAATATTCGTTTTATATTACACATTAATTTATTTAAACCCCTACATCTTTCGAATAGCAATGCCGCAGATACATGTTAAATTGTAATATCAAAGAAGGAACTATAATGTAAAATTGTTATGGAAATTATTCTAATACTGTTTTATTTAACAAAAATTGTTATACTTTAAAGTATCACTATATTCATTTTGTGGCCTTCAGGTTATAGGCCCGCCTCTAGAGTATGAGGGCGCGAGTTCAAAATCTGGCAAGTACAAATGTGATTTTTCCGAGTCATATGTAGGTACTCTCTAAGAGCATTTAGACACCACTGACCGACGGTGAAGAAAAACCTGGACCTGGATCTGGAAACCTGGACTTATACTTTCAAATTATATGTTCGAAATCACCAACCCATCTTGAGGAACCGTGATGTTAATGCTTAAACCTTCTTCATGTGAGAAAGAGGACTTTGTTTAGCAGCGGGCTCTGATAGTCTGATGATGATGATGTTGATTCATTTTTTGTTACAATATTAATTTTTATGTGTACTATTTACTAAAGTTTTATCGCAGATCCTATGCTTGCTGTTCGTAAGTAATCAGCTGATAAGTGTTATTAATCAAAATATATTTCGACGAAACACTCCTAAATCGCTCTGTTTATTTATTGGTTGTTAGACTGGACAGCGTGTATTTTATCTAAGTAATTAAGTTTTTTCGGAAAAATTATGAGTATTCCTATACCTTGACATATCTAATATATTTAATATTCCTACGTTTTGACATCATATGAATCTTGGAATACATATTTCAAAAGTATAAAATATATTTTTTTATAGACGTTACTAAAATATTTCCTTTCCTATTTCAAGTTACCGTATTTTGATAATTGGTTGAAATCCAGTGGAATAATGAATTTTTGCATTTTTGATAATTCATGAGATTGGGAAGGATAAACTTTATTGAGATTTTGAAACACTGTTTCAATTAACTTACTTGTAAAGTAATAAGTAGATCCAAAATAGTTTCACAAAATAAATACATATATAATATTTATACTGCTTATTCAAAATTTGTTATTTGATTCATGTCTTTTATAAAAGAAATTGTATAGAGATTTATGACTATAGGCCTTCTTTATAGGTTAAAGCTTTAGAGAAAGAAACAAGTAATAGTTTTTTTCTAATTTATTTATTACATTTTTAAACAATACAATACTTATTACATACAATTTAGGCAGATGGAATAAATATTCATTAAAAATTAAATTTATAAGCCACTCAAAAGTAAAAGTACATTGAGCCATTACATAAAGACAAATATTTATCTAATTATATATTAGCTTAACGACTATAAAATTTTAAGCACTACAATCTACAAAGTGACTAAGATCCCGCTTTTGAACCACTTGATTTACGGAATAGGTTATTCTTGAATTTAATTTTATAAAATTTTAAGTTTAACAATATCACCTATTATATCTATATTTAAGGGTAATTTACAGATATTCCTTTTCATAAGTAAGCAGGAAAATTAATAGGCAGTTTATCCTCTATAAACAAATAGAAATTTGGCCAATTTTATAGGGATTGCCCTTGTTTAGAGCTCTTATATGAGAATTACTTCGTTGATATTCTTTGAGGGAATTAAAAAAAATAAATTTAGAATAAAGTGTTTCTATTTTAAATTTATGTAGCTTTTGTTACAACATGCTTTAATTGAAAATGAAGTTCTTCTTTCATGATTGTTTTGTGAAGAAATAGGAAATTAGTCTGAAATGGAATCTTGAGAAAGTTAATGTTTATTTATTTTTTCCTTGGCCTTATTGCTGAATACTAGTGTATATATCTTGCTGAATACTAGTCGCATGAAAGGCTGTACTAAACACCTTTTCAGCTCCTAATGATCTATAGTGTATTCAAACTAAACTACGAGAAGCACATTGCCTGCTAAGGCCTCTAGGTTTTAACCCGATTTCCCGAAGGGCGAAAATAATATTTCGTAGCGTTGTAATTTTGTCACATTGTTATTTGGGTTGAAAGGTTCTTATTCTAGCAGGTCGCTGGATCAACAATATTGGAGCTCTATTCTTGCAATTTCTGCATAGTATTCTTTGAATATAAAGTATAGTTCTTTGAATTAATACCATGGAAAAGAAACTTGTCTTGTTAGGCCTTGATGCTTTAATGAGTATTGAATAAAATACTTTATAATATTTCTTATATTATAAGAAATTATGGAGCTTAATCGAAAGCAGATCTCGAATATCAGATTGTATACAGGGGTTTTTCCACATAGGTAATTTCACTTAATTCTTCTATTACCTTCTCTTCAACAAAAAGACTATCGCAATTCACATTTCTTATTAAAACTTCGGTGCTGCTACCGTTTGGAAATTAGAAGTTTTCTATTTATCATTTGTATGTAAATTTTTTTACAAAGAATTTTTTTTTTTCATTATTTCGGAAGAAGTTTAACATTTTGATACTAAAGAAATTTTATATTTAATATGTGTTAAGACATAAATTATATCTAAGGATGTGCTCATGTGTGGTTTAGAAGCAAGTTATATCTCAATAATGAAGAAACTTATACAGCATACATTTGATTTTGATTTATTTTGTAATCACAATCCTATTGCCAATCTCTTCTTGTCGCATGTAAACTCTGAGGACAAGGGAGAAGGCGACTCGCTTATTACTGACTTAAAGAACACGAAAAGCTTAAGGAACAAATAAATTTGTCGATCACCAAATAGGAATAAGTCTTAACTATTTCAATGCATAAATTGTAATATCTTTATATTAAATTTATCTGGATAAACAAAAATATATAAATACATATTTACAAGTAATGACCAAATTTATTATATCGCAATAAGTAAATTAAAATTTTACTTTCCTATATATTATTATAAGTACTACAAGATTAATCCATGTATTTTTCTATCATTTTTTTTTATTTTAAAGGATACGTCTTGAAATTCCATAGTCTCTTCAGATTTAGTCTTGTTGACCAGGCTCAATACCATCTAATCTATCACATTGTCACAACTTGGATGACAACCCGAATATTTGTTTTTAACGTTTTTCATGTGTTTAACACATTTCTCTTATAATTTTAGAGAAAATTCCAAAAATCGTTTCATGATTGAAATTTAGTCGTCCATGACATAAATTGTATTCTTATTATTTAAATTAACTTTAATATCAGATTCCACAAACATCTTGGCTCTAAATTCGATTTAGGAGAAAGAGTGTAAGGTAAAGGACCACATGACATGCATGACGCTTCCTCAAAGGAAACCATTTCTTCGGCTTGAATTTTGTGCCCGAATTATAAAAATACGGCTTTAGTTTCTTCCAGTTTTAATACAGTATATTGTTAGGGGGACCAAACTACTTCTCGATTTTATATTTTAAATTTTTATTATGTATGTATTCCTGCCAGCTTTTGTTGGACAAATATCTGCTAATTGCATTTTTCATTATTTGTGATATTGACGTACCCTTCACTGGATATTATTCGTTTACATTTTGAACAAACATGCTCGAACAATTAAATCATGAAACAGTCAATGTGTTCGAAGGAAAAATGTTAGTTAGATGGATATGTGAAATTCTCACCCGTCCTGCCATCTACAAATCTCAGGGTGTGACTAGTATTGGCGCGACGCCCATAAAATAAATTCTTTGACATTCTTTCAATTACCGATCTTGGTCAGCTAAACTTCTTAGCTGTGGTCATATTATGAGGAATTAATATGTAATAAAAATCGATATAAAAACCTTTTCCGATTTTATTATACATATTTTACACTATAAGAAACTTTCATACATCTACAATAAAATAGATTTTATAAGATGAGTTTATATCTGAATATAAAAGACATGAAAGTTTTATTATTTTATTTACAAAAAAAAGTCATAAATAAAATACACACCATCTATAAAAATACGTTTAATACTAGCATTTAATAGTTATAGAGGACTAAGCGTATAAGGCGGCGCGCGACTTGGCGGCGAGGCACGGACGGGGGTCACCGGTGAGGGGTGGAGGGAGTAGGTTGCGTGTTAGGCAGAAAACCTAGCGCTGTTAGTGCAGCATCCGCACGCGCTATTAAAGGCGTCCGCCAGCGCCACAACGCCGTATCTCGTACGGGCTGGGCGCGTAACTCTGCACAGGACTTGCTGAGTGCGGTGACGCAGTCTGCGCGGTAGTGCTGGAGCCGTGCGTGTTGGGTCTCTATTGCGTACGAGGAGCATACGCCTCCGAGACATGCCAGAGGAAAGTGATTGTGCAAAGCCAGTACCCTTTCAGTCTCATGGAACGCTTTTACATACTGACCAGGCTTAGTAAAATTGCGGGTACGATAGACATGCTGCAACATGTGTAGATATCGTGGCACACCCTCTTCCCAACCATGTTCGTGTCGCAGCGAATCCAGATAGTACAAATTAGAAGCATGATATGAAGATCGCGGTGGTTTGCCCGGAACCGGCTTTGACAATGGCAAAATCCGCTTCATCAGCGAACTCCAGTCCCTATCTTCCAAGGGCACTATAACTTCGTCGATATCGAGCAGTGCCAGCCATCGATATTGGTACATGTGGCGATACAAGCAGTCATTATATGGTATCAGCTCCATTTGTCGTTTGTGCGTCGTTTTCTTTTTTAAATACATGTGTTGCAATCCCGGCAGATTCGGTTGACCACCAGGAAGAGTAATAGGCGTGACTTCGGTCACTCCAAGTGCGTTATAATAATTTAAAACCTTTGTTATATTTGGATGTACCTGTAGTTCATAAAAGAATATTTTGTCTGCTCCTAGCAAACGTATTATTTCTATCCACTCAACGAGACGGACCGAAAGATCTTCGTGTAGAAAATCTAGTCCCTTAACACAAACGGCAAATTCTTTCTGTGTAGCCGGTGGTTGTGGACGATCGTTGTGTACTCTCAAATTGTTTGTTGCCCGATCACAAGGGTCAGCCACAATGGATACAGAAGCAGGCACAAGGTGCCTCACCTCAGCCGGTAATACACACGCCATTAAATACGGCTGAAGAACTCCGTCTCTATAATTTCCCCACTTACTATTCCACACGTATTTATACTCCAGGTTACGGACAACCACGGGGGCATCTCTTTCTTCGAACCACAGCTGACAGTGTGTAGCCAACGTTGGCTTGATGCGATCATGAACTGCCAAAACCCGGACCGCGGGGCCAATACGTGATGTGTTCCGAGCATCCATGTAAGCTCCATAGAAATGGAAAACATCAGTTTTTACACGCAGTGTTTGCCAATAGGTATTGTGAAACTCAAGGTCATATATTGAGGGAAACGGGGCGCAGTCCTTTTTCTTGTAAAATTTGTTTTTATCATTTCTATGACGATGCCAGTAGGCGAGTGGGAGAGACGGGAGACGACGCTCGGCATCGGCTCGCAGTTCGTCCTCGGAAAGTACGCGTGTGTCGGTGGCGGGGCGCAGGACCGGCGCTGGAGTGGATGGCGGCGCCGCCGTGGACCCCGATTCAGACTGGAGCAGGAGACGCCCAGGTGGGGCAGGGGGTACAGGTCGAGCACGTGGGGGTGCGGGATGCAGACGCGGCAACGCAAGTGCTGCCAGCGCGCCCCAGCATACGAGTGCCGCCAGCCAGCGCAGCCTCGCGCGCCCTGATCCGCTCCACCGCGCGCACCACCCCCGCATGGCCTGAAAATCACATAAAACATTTTGTTATAAGATATTCACAAATACATTTCCTTATAATTAGTTAGCATGTTAGGTATTACAAAATATCATTAGTATTTACATGTTTGATACAATCCAACAACTGCCTAGCTTCGCATGAAAACTAGAAGTCTGCAAGCGATACCGGGACATTCTATTAGCATAGCAAACAGGTTACAGAAATAATGAATAACAGGAGTCTAATAATATATATCTTTTCATCGTACAGAAAATTTTGTCAGAAGTAAAACTATTCTAAATAAACTATTAAAAATAAAACATTTCCCAAGTTTTACACAACAAGATCACATTCTCGGGACTTGAACTTTAATATCAATATGACATCTGACAGTTCACAGATTATGCTATATTTTAGTAACTTTCATTGCATCCTTTATAAAAACAACGTGAAAATAAACAATTGTATACACATAAACAAATATTAGAAGTATCCAGTTATCGAGGTGTTTCATTATGCAAATCCTACACTGTTCCCTTTCATATTTAAATACATACATTGTGGCATAATAACATGATTTTTATATTTAGAAACAAGACACGGCGTTCATTTTCCAAATATGTTATAAGTATTCGGTATGTATATAAATTAAAATTCCACGAGCTTGGCAGTGGAATGGTCAGCGGTCACGACCGAGGCGCCGATTCCAGGCCTGCTTTAATACTTCTCACCTATAAGGACTATACAGTCACCGTTACTTCATTATTAAATACTATTCATTTAAATTGTTTATCATTTAACGGAAAGTTGTCCTGTAGTGAGTATTACCGTTGATGAGTTGACTTGCAACCACAATTTTATCATAAACCATTGAGTAATTTTGCACGGCTTTAATATTTAAAGCACTATCTATACTTATTCAATATGAATTCTTAGCCATAGAAATAAGATAATATTTTGTGGGTATATTACATTATAAATGTGTCTTCCTTATTATTGTGCAATACATAATGAGATTAATAATTTAGAATAAACCAAAAACAAAAAAAAACATAATCGATGTAATGTAGCCCAGAGAAACTTGAAGAAAGAAGTAAACAAATTATATTTATGTAATGAATATTATAACAAACAAAACATTGTTAGAAAAGGTTAATTAACATGGAGGTTAGTTGATGACCTCGCCTGTCACCCGGGGACTGAAACCTGGTACACTTTCTAATACATAACAAACACTAAGACTTTAACAATGTTATAAATTAAATTAGAAGTATTGTTTTAATTGCCATATGTTAGAATAATCCAAACATCGTAGTCATTCATTCAAATTTTATCTCGACATTTTGAGACGTGTTTGTGACAACAATCTTTCTACAATCACCACTATTGTCTATGCGACGGTCACACGATATCATCACAGTTACTGTATAGCCTTAACATGAATATTAATAATAACCTTATATTCGTCTTGCTTTGATAAAAAAAAAAAAACAGATATATTTGGCTATTCGTTAAAGATTATATATGTATATGAGATGAGAAATTTTTATAATAAATCCAGTATGTTAGATTTCTTATATATTAAACCATATTCGTCTTAGATACACACATATATAAAATCCTTTAAGTATAATTTACACAGGAAAAAAAATTAATACACTCATTGTTAAATGTTGGAATTTACGATTGACTAAGCCTTTTCTCAGACTCGCTGTAGTGCTATTTTATTTATAACAGGATTTTTGTTTCTTAAAAGTTTAAATATGATTAAAATTAGAAAAAAGATACAACAATTATTTAAAAGTTTAAACAAATTTTTTAACATAAAAACTTTTTTTTGTTTTAATCATCTTTACCTTGAAATCAGGAGTTATTTTGCCGTTCAAATTTAAAAAGTGATTAAATCTTTACTAATTTTATAAAGGTGGTGAATTTTTTTTTTTAGTTTAACAAAATAATTATAAAATTCTAGTGATATTAGAAAAAAAAATGATATTTAAATAGTTAATTGAGGTAAATTATAAATGTTTTCGTCATTTCGTTATTGAGGATAATCATAAGTACGCAATCGTTAAAGAGGAAAAATAGTTTATTTATATTAATCAGTTTTATAGGTTGCAAAAACTGTTCGCTAAACTTCTGAAATATTAACTAAGTATATTGTTAATTCTTACTAACAGAAAAGAAATTACTAACAACTAAGGATAGTTGGCTATGACTAAAAGATGAGAGATGACCTTTATTGAATAGCTCGCTTGGAACGGTCACGGTCGTCAGGCAAGGAATGGCAAAAATATTTGTAAAGGAAAATCTAACGCGCTTAAGCATCCGATACTTTTTACTTTACAAAGATTACATTGAACGCAACCCATTAGAAAACTCACCAGCTTTGTACGTAACTATACAATCAATCACTAACAGGCAAAATAATAGATACACTTTATATAAAAAATATTCAGATCATATTGTTTATTTGTAATAGGTTTTCTTATGACTCTAAGCGAGTAATAATCTTCTTATATTTCTTATAACAAACATCTTTAGACGGACACTAACGGTGTTTAAAAGACATTGATGTCAAAGAGAATGAGTTATATTTCCTCAGCATGAATCGAAGTAAGTTCCGCAATTGACCGGTTATGGCTGCTTATAAATAACTGTTGTTTATAAGCAGATGAATTTATGCCATAAAGACTTCACATCTCAAACTTAATACTGTACATATGTGAGCGAGTGAATAATTTTACGTACTGATTTATAAACTGTAATTTATTGGCATAGTGAACAAAGTAATATGTACATATAATGTACATATTATATATTTTTAAATAATGTACAATATACAAAAACGGTGTTCAAGATGTTTTTAATAACCATCGTTAATAGGTATGTTTATCCATTTATTTCTGTGAATAGCCACGTTTTTGTTGAAACACAATAATTTTAAAATAAAATAGAAACACAATTTACATCAATATTGAAAACACTGATGTCGGTATTAAAAACTTTAAGGAATATAATGTTGATAAAACCCACCGAGGCTACTAAAAAACATGACCTTTCGAATATCAAGGTTCTAGAAGCAGAATTGAAAGAGATTTTTAAAGAATGTAATAAGCGATGATCACATATGTCGTGATGTTCACTATAGAAGATCAAGTTGTGACGTCACTACTCGCAGCAGGATGAAGCAGCGGTGATATCATACCAGCGTATATACTTTTTTGTGTCATGACTGTGTTCATGCACATGCAAGAAAACCAAGTATCAATTCTAAAAACTAACGTATTTTACCGTGTAATGGGCAGGAAACAACGAATTTAAAAAAAATAGATGAATACGCTGTATATTTTATTTTATAAGTAAATATATCAAGCTAAATAAGTTAACAGAATGACCATAAAACTGAGTAAATTATAGCGGTGTACAGGAAGCAGGGTCAACGTCCGGGCGGGGGCTGACGGCATGTCTGCATTTCGCATTCGACTCATCAATGAGCCTTATAAACACTAGCCTTTAGCACATTAGTGACAGGATAGTTATACATATTTCCAAGAACAATACATTCCGTTTAGGTTAGAATAAAAATTAGTTAATTAATAAAAAGGTCGATTATAGACAACAGTGTAATTAGAAAAAAATTAATCCCTTCGATGGTGCCAATGTTACAATGACGTATGTATAAGATACGATATGTCTTATCAGCCATATCTATGAGCATACGAACAGTAGTTAGAAGCAGTGTTATGACGTAGTGATTTACGAAGTTTTCACTTTTACACGCTAGTATATTATTTGCTTACCTATGTCCGTTTGATTATTAAGTATTTTTTAACAACACCTTCACTAAACTGATGGGAAAGTAGAATATTCGATAGACTATTATATGACACTATTATATTCAGACCACCGCGTCGTGAGAATGTAACAAGATATATTTAAATAGTTACTCATGATTATAAACTTATATATTTCTTATGTAATTTCAAATTCCTAAGTATACATTTATATTACGCATTGCATTTAATAAGTAATAAACTCAGTGAGATCTCTTCGTTTCTATCAATATTGAATGAAAGGTTTTATCGAAGAAATTTCAACAAAATAGATGGTGAGTAATGTTTGTTATTTGTGCTGTGCTATCCTCTCCCCTCCGTTCCCTACCTCCCACTCCTTTGTGTACAAACACGTCAGACTGGATATTCCAGGTTGGTGGTTAGCGAGTGAGACAGCCGAGCGGGCAGTTTTATTGTATAGCATCGGCTTCCGACAATCATTGATGTTGTAAATGAAACACTAAACATAGAAACTTAATATTTGAAAAGTATTTCATTTTTATAAAGATATTTCGATAACAGCATCAAAAGAAATTTATACTAAAATGGTTTTAGGGAATAATCGGTTTAATTCTGGGATCAAACAAAAAAGTAAATTAAGATCTAGTATGAGCGTCTGGGGATGTGAGGAGTTAGTATTATTGTCCGGGGTTAGAGATCACGGAATACTGTTCTGCGTCCTAAGCTTCAGACGTCTTGGCGAAGGTCCAGAGGTATAATAGGTTTAGAAAAGGATAGAGAAGACTGCCGGAGCTCTGACAATAAACTATTCTTCAATCACTCTTCGAGATCATTATCAGTGGATTTAGCGGCAGCATTAATTTGCACACAATAGCATCTCGAAACGATGCTGCACAGTGAAGACTGCACGCTCCACGAGCTATTGAACTAGATGACTACAATATGGAAAACGTTATAATCCGACTTTTACGACTAATTATTTATGTTGAAAGTTAATAGACGGCTATGTAATAGTTTTATCACTTCAAGCAATGAAAAGGACTTATAATATAGTCTTCATTAATAGTGCCTTAGAGCAATTTATTCTTTTATAATTTATTGCAAGGCTATCTCTTGGTCAAAGCGACTGCCTCCTTATTTTATTGTTTAACACTAACGTCACGGATGTTGATATTAAAAATAATTTATGTATTTGGGTAATATAAATTTTAATATGGCATAAA